AGTTTGGAATATTGAAAGGGAATTTTATTATGGTTCATATAATTTTTATTGATGCTATATGCATGGCAAAAGAGCTATTTAAGTGTCTATGTACAGGAGGATTAATTTATATTTGGTGCCTAAGTGCACTTAAGGTGTTCTAAACACCGAGGGATAGGATTTGTGGTGCATTATAGGCTTAATTAAGGTGTTATTTAACACTGAGATAGTTTAAAAAGGGTTCAACAATAAATTTAATATGGTCGCTAATTATTCAAGAATTAAATTGGTATGTGTGATTGCTTGAATGACTTATGATGGTTGATTGATTGTGTTATGGATTGAGAGTCATCACCAAGTCTAAAATATGTAAATAACGTAAAGTGAAGGAGATTACGCGCCAAAACTCTTGGAACGTATATACCTCGAGTATGAACATATGGGGGGAGTTATGCGACTTTATATTTGACCATAACTTCTACTGGGAGTACAGGACGCTGTATTTTCCTTTTTTATTATGTGCAGGAATTCCGTCACTTATGAGTGATTATTTTATACTGGCACGATTAGCTCCGGTGTTAGTACCCCTTTATTAGGGAAGGTTAGGGGAAACCCGTTCGATGCGTAATCAAGCTGAATAAGCAATCTATTTATTTATTGGTTGATTTATGTTGTATGTTGAGTGCTTGTAAACAGGTGCAACAAGGTAAGTGGTGTGTTGATAGGATGAAAGCATGTTAGTGTGTACTGTTACGCTTATGTACTCAACATTCATGATTGTGTGTTTGTATGTTTGTGTGGCCTTGTAATACCCTGTATTTTTAAACCCGTTTTATGAATTATTAATTATGTTTTTCGGGAAAATAATAATAATGTATATACTAATATGATTTTAAAGTGACTCAAAAGGGATTAAACATACGAAAATGACTTGGTTAAAATTATGTTTTACCAAAGATTTTGATATGTAAGCCGGGAATTTAGTAATAACCGAAAATCAGATTTTCCACTTTGTGTGCATTTTTCTCCAAGTCAACATAAAGACCAAAGTCAATTCTTCTTATATATGCATGACCAAAGTATTTCTTTTCTTTGAGTTTGACCAAAGTGAACTTGGTCACCAAGTTTTGACATTATACTTAACCACCAAGTCTTTGACATCATACATGATGTCAACGGAGTTTCTCAAACTCTATAAGTAGCACTCAAACTTCAACCATTTTAATCCAAAAGATTTATCTTGCTCTCAAAGCTCCATTCTTCTTTTCTTCTTTCTTTCTTCTTTTGCCTCTCATTTTCGTAATAGTTCAGCTCGTACATGTTCCAAGCCATTTTTCGATCCCTTATGATCATTTTTAGCCTTCTACTGTTCGAGACAAAATTGTTTTTCTCAAACAATCTTGAGGTTAGGCTCAAGAATCACCCAATTCGGATTTATATACTATGTGATATGACCTCTGCAAGATCTGCCTCCTTCTTTCCAACGTGAACCTTCATTCCTGTGAGCTTTGCTACTTTAAATTGTTTTGCGGTTAGTTTTCTAAAATTAATATCTATTTTCAATTTATGATTTTTATAAGTTTTCATATTTGATGTTTATTTAAAATACTCCATATAATGTTTATTTAGGAGATAGTTTGTGGTTGTAAATCTAGGTTGAATAGTTGTAAAGATCAATGTACGTACTCGTGGCTAGGTCTTTAAATATGTGATTTTATACAAATGTATTTTACGTTTTGAATGATGAGCTATGTTTGAATATTGAACAATGATTTATGAATTTTATAAAATAATTTGTGTACGCATGTTTCAATAAAAACGATTGTCTGATCTTAAATATTTAAATGTTTTATAAACTTGTTTGTAAACTTACTTTGTTTACCAAATTTTTTTAAAAAGGAAATGTTATCATTTTAATCATCCCATATATGGGAATTGAAGGTTGATTTATCAAAGATATTAATCGGATTTTCATGACTCCCACTATGTGGAGATAAATGATAAGGCTATGAACTATGTATGATCTAGTCTTTTCCCCAAGTATAGCACTATGTAAGGAGTCACTAGCTTGGGTGGTGTCCACACTTAGGTTGGGAAAATGGTTTACGAAAACATTGATCTTCCATTTCTATTGGAATCTATTTTTGAAAAGTCGTTGGCTTTGAAATTGATAATTTTTGGAATGTTTCTAAACGTTTCTAAATGTGAAATTTCTATTTATAGAATGTTTTGAATTAATTATTTATAAATGTTAAATCTTATGAAAGCATGTTTAACTAACTAAATTGATTTTACATATCTAGCATTGGTATGTACTTAGCGTTTTTGCTAACCCGTACTTCTCTTTTGTTTTGGCTTTGCCTCACTTATTATTCATTGATGAGTAGTTAGCTGTTTTCAAGCGTGGATGCTAGTTGCTACATTGGGGACCTTCGGGATGTAATCACCTAGATTAGGGTTTTCACTATTGTGGTATTTTGTTGAAGTACTCCACTATATATATACTAGTTATTATTTTGGATATTATTATTCATACAATTAATACAAAAAAAAAGGTTAAGTATGTATTTCTTCCGGTGCAAGTCTATGTTTTGAAAAGACTTACGTAATCACGTGGCGGTAATATCCCTAAGTTACTTTCTAAATCCTGTTTTATAATAATTATTATTGGAGAGTAATTTGGGGGTGTTACAGGCCTTGTCTTCCCTACGATGACCCATTTCTAATGGCGAGTAGTGGGGACAAGTAAAGAGAAGCTTTTCAGCTGATGTAGCATATTCATGATGGGCATGAGTGAAGAGCGAATCCTGTTTAGTTTCCTTAGGAATATGATGTGTTTTATTTGCTTTGATTATTATATATTTGCTTGTGAGACTAACACAAAGGTTTTAATATTTGTTTTGGGTTTTGATAAGGGCTTATAATGGTTCCAAGTTGTAGGTTGACTTTTTTGACTTTACTTTCGTTGGTTTGACTTTTTGAGTTGACTTGTTTTGAATGGTTTTTAAAGTGAGTCTTTTGTTGTGTGTCTTTGATAATTGCCTTAGTCGTTTTCACGGTGGCGGTAATGTCTTAGATTTTCCTATTTCGTATTTTAAAAGAGCAAAACAAGTATTTTAAAGGAAAGAAATTTCTAGGGTGTTACAAAGTGGAATCTGGGAGGTTTGGTTGAAATTTTTATTACCACTAAAGCCAAAAACGTGTTTTAAATTATTTTGTTTTAAACTTGGCCAAGTGTTTAAATCAATGAGTTATTTTACAAAGTAAGTTATTTTATTTTATTTTACTTTAATTTTTTAGAGGACCAAAAATATTTTATTATGTTTGTAATAGGTCCAATTTTATTTATTTATTTAATTTTTTTTTTTAAATTGAGAGGTCCAATTTTTTTTTTTTTTTTTTTAAAAGGAGGGGTGTCCGTATTTGTTTTTAATATTTTTTTTTATTTTGGCCTTTTCGGAGTTAATTTTAGAATTTTTTTTTTGAAAAAAAGGGAGTCAAAAATATTTTTAGTTTGTTCAGATTAAAGTAAGAATTATGTGTTAAGAGCTTTAAAAGCATGTTTGTGAGCTTGGGTAGGAAATAATTTAGGGCATATAAGTTGTAATTATTCATGTTCTTGTATGCATTAATATTTAGGTTGTAATGTTTGATCATATGAGTTGAATGATGTGGAAGCATGTAATTATGTGGTTAGAAATAAGAAGATTACTATTGTTTGATTGAACATTGTAGGATGCCGATCTTTCCTAGCAAATACTCACAAATTGGTACCCTAATTAAGAAAGACTATGAACATCCCTTTGACTATGTCAAGAAGATCCATTTCTATTGTTCACACATGAGCGATGTCCTAGGGGACAACTAGTATGACCTTCCTGATCGTGTTTTAGCTATGATAATTCACTGTCTTCCTGACGAATCCCCTTATCTTGCTGTCAAAGCAAAATTTTCTGATTTCTACTTGCCTAGGGGCATTCCCAACTATTCCAAATACAAAGATTATTATAGACAGTGGTACCCTGACTACGGATACTTGATTTCTTACCTCGTTCGAGTTAAGAAACATCACAGCGAACGATTACATATTCCATATCCAAATTACTACTATGATAATCCAGCAGGGAATGATTCCTCTTCCACTAGAAATCAATCAAGAAATTCTTCCCCACCATAGAGTAATCAAGCAGGAACAAATGGAGAGCAAGAGGAAGGAAAGCTAATGGATGAGAGTAATCATACTGTTGATAGTTCCATTATGGAAATCCCGAATCCAAATCCACCCCAAACTCCAATCATTATTGACATTTCATCTGACGACGAGGAAGATAAAGAGTTTATTCAAGTAGAGCAAAATCCAGAGACACCTGAACCAATGGAGGAGGATGATGACCCTGAATTCGATCCTGGAAACTACAAACAATCAAAGGAAAAGAAGGACAATGTTCGAAAAGAATAGATTTGTAGTTTCATTTCTTTTAGGATTCTTAGTTTCATTTTCACAATTTTAATTATTTCCTTTTCAGTAAAGTAATAAGTGGCATGGCCACAGTGAGTCAATAAACCTATTGAGTTGTGTAGGTTATTCGAACTCATTTCATTTTATTTTTCCAATCATTTTTCTTTCTCAACAATAAAATTTTATTCACTTCGTTGCAAAATAATTCATTTTACTGCCAAATAATTCATTTTTATTCTCAAATCATTCATTTTATCACTACTCAAATGAGCCATTTCTTACTCACATTTTCCAACAATTCATTTCTTAACTCTGGGAAACAATGGGAATTATTTATATTTATTATTGTGATGCTTTATTAAATGTATGGTTGGTTAGCAATCAAAATTTGGTGGATCAAGCTGTAAGATTTGGGAGTTGTAATTTTGTAACCTCAATTTGTTAGCTAAAATTAAATGTGGGTGTGTGAATGGTGTAGGTTAGTTAGACGAGTGTCTAACTTGAGAGCTAACCATAACCATTATTAATAAAGACCCCTTTGTTCTAATTCAGGAGAAGAAAGATGGTAGGAGGAAGTGGGAACAATAATGAAGGAGGAGATCTGAGTGAGGTTGTAAAGCAGTTAGCAGTGGTCCCCCAGCTGCTAGCAAGCTAAGGAACTCGACCAACAATGGGGATGCTCAGGGAGAGTTGTTCAGGCCGCAAAGCAAGCCACCAACCTATCAAGGCAAACCAGACCCAATAGTATTTGAAAACTTGGTTAAGGGAGTTTGAGAAACTGTTTGGGGCAGTAGGGTGCCCAGAATATTCGAAAGTGGGTTTTGCTACCTATTACCTCAGGGGTAAAGCTGACCTTTGGTGGCAACAAAATGAGACTACCATCAAAGCACTACCTGGTTTCAATTGGACTATGTTTCAGGAGAAGGTTAGGGACAAGTTTTATCCCAGTTTCCTACAGAAACAGAAGGTTGGGAAATTTTCCAACCTAGCATTGAGAGATATGTCAGTCACTGAGTATTATACCAAGTTTATTGAGCTGTCAAGGTTTACCAAAGAGTCTGTTGCTACAGAAAAGGCAAAGGCTAGGAAGTTTGAGAGTGGATTGACCACTGATCTTCAACTAAAGCTGTGTGGACAAGTGTTCAAAACCTTGGATAAAGTTTATGGGAGGTCTGCACACCTTTATGCTTTGGAGTTGAAGAAAAAGAAGGAATTAGCTGAGGTGGAAGGAAAGGAAAAGAGAAAAGAGATGGGACAGAACTCTGGAAACCCTCAAGGTAACTAGAGCAATTTTAAGAAGTAGAAATACCACCACAACAACAACAACTTTAACAGCAACAATAACTTCCACAATAACAATCGTCAAGGTGGACGAAATTTCAATGGAGGGCCTAAGAACTCTAACCAGGGAAATAATAAGTATGGAAGGTGTTATATCTGTAAAAGGTCCCGGAATAATCACCCTGGAAGAGACTGCGAGGGTAACCTAGTTACTTGTCGTGCTTGCAACAAGTTGGGACATAGGGAGTATGAGTGCTTCTCCAAAGATTCTAACCGAAACAAGCAGGGAAATATCAAGGAGGGGCTCAAAGGAACTTTTAGGGAAGCAACAACTATGCAGGGAACAAAGGAGCACAACAAAGTGGGGTGAAAAGCAACAATAATGGGAATGATCAGGTGAAGAGTGGAGCTCCAGGAAAGCTAAATGTAATAAGTAGGCATGAAGCTGATACTACGAAGGATGTTATTACTGGTACTTTTTCTATTAACTCTATTCCTGTTAAAGTTTTGTTTGATTCTGGTGCAACTTTTTCTTTCATTTCAAAAGCCATTGTTTCAAAGCAATCGCACTGTTTGAAAACCATAGATGTCATATATGTACCTATAGTTATTCCCACGGGCGGGGTAATAAAATGTACCAAAACCTGTAAGGATGTGCCATTAGAGATCAAAGGAAAGGTGTTTTTGTTTGACCTCATTGAATTTGGGTTGAGTAACTTTGATATCATCTTGGGAATGGATTGGTTGAGCAAGTATAGTGCGAAGATTCGTTGTCGATCACAAAAAGTGCAGTTAAGTACAGCTGAGGGTGAGTTGGTAACACATTGGAAGCATGGTGAAGCAAAGTGCCTAAGAATCATCTTTATGATAAAGTTGGCTAAGTATATTAAGAAGGGACATCCAGTATATTTTTGTACTGTAAAGAACTTGGAACACGAAGAGACAATTAAGCTTGAGAACATAGAAGTGGTGAATGAGTTTCTTGATGTGTTCCCAGAAGAGATTCCAAGGATTCCACCTAAGAGAGCAATTGATTTCACAATAGAGTTGGTCCCAGGGACAACACTAATTTCCAAGGCACCATATCGAATGGCACCTGTAGAAATGACTGAGTTAAAGGAGTAACTATAGGATTTACTAGAAAAGGGGTACATTAGACCAAGTGCATTGCCTTGATGAGCTCTAGTGTTGTTTGTTAAGGAAAAGGATTGAAGTATGAGGTTATGTATCGACTATAAGGAGTTAAATAAGGTCACCATAAAGAACAAGTGCCCATTACCAAGGATTGATGACCTATTTGACCAATTGAGGGGCGCATCTGTGTTTTCCAAGATTGATTTAAGGTCCGGATACCATCAGTTGAGGATCGCTGATGAGAATATTCCCAAGACTGCATTTAGAACAAGGTATGGACATTATGAGTTCACAATAATGCCATTTGGATTGATGAATGCTCCAGCAATATTTATGGACTTGATAAATAGGGTGTTCCATCCATTTAGGAACGAGTTTGTCGTAGCATTCATAGATGATATACTGGTGTATTCGAAGAATAAGGAGGAACATGTGAACATTTGAGGGCAATTTTACAAACTTTAAAATAGAATAAGCTCTATGCGAAGTTTTCCAAGTGGGAATTTTGGTTGGAGAAAGTAGCATTTCTAGGTCACTTTGTGTCCAAGGATGGGGTAGAAGTAGATCCAGCGAAGATTGAAGCAGTAAAAGGATGGCCTACGCCAAAAATAGTGTCTGACATTAGGAGTTTCTTAGGTTTAGTAGGGTATTATAGACGTTTGGTGAAGGACTTTTCTAAGATTGATAAGCCTATGACCTCTCTAATGAAGAAGGACAAGAAGTTCGAGTGGGATGAGAAGTGTGAGGAAGCGTTTCAACTTTTGAAGCAAAGGTTGATTACATCACCAGTGGTAAGGTTGCCAGATGATAGTGGGATCTACGATGTATATAGGATGCATCCAAGAATGGTCTGGGATGTGTGTTTATGAAAAATGGAAAGGTGATTGCATATGCGTCAAGACAATTAAGACCTCATGAAGTAAACTACCCTACTCATGATTTAGAATTAGCTGCAATCATTTTTGCACTAAAGATTTGGAGGCATTATTTGTATGGGGTGAAATGTAGGATTTACACAGACCACAAAAGCTTGAAGTACATCTTCACCCAAAGAGATCTAAATTCGCGCCAAAGGAGATGGCTAGAATTTGCAACGAACTACAATTTGGACATACAATACCATGACGGAAAGCAAAATGTAGTTGCCGACGCTCTAGGTCGTAAAACCAGTCATGATTGAACTCCTTGGTAGTGGCTGATGAATTGTGTAGGGAAATGAGGAAAATGAACCTAGAAGTGGTGGAATGGGGAGTACCAGCAGGTATACTCGTGAATCTAAGCATTCAACCAACAATATTTGATGAGATAAGGGAAAATCAGGCAGGAGATGTAAAGTTGGATAGGATTTGTGAGAAAATAAAGCAAGGAAAGGCTACAGATTTCAAAATCCACGAAATGGGAGTTTAAGGTACAAATGTAGATGGTGTGTACCACAAAATGTGAGGAAGTAAAGAGAAAATTGATGAAAGAAGGACACAATACACCATACTCAGTACACCTTGGAGGGGATAAGCTGTACAAAGACTTGAAAAAGATTTATTGGTGGCCTAGAATGAAGAATGAAGTTGCGGAATTTGTAGCAAAGTGTCTAACTTGTCAAAAGATGAAAATAGAGCACAAGAGACAGCAAGGAACTGTGCAATCATTGGAAATCCCTGGGTGGAAATGGGATTACATTTCGATGGATTTTGTGACTTGCCTCCCAAAGTCAAAGAGTGGAAATGATACCATTTAGGTCGTGGTAAATAGACTTACCAAATTTGCAGTGTTCATACCAATGAAGGAGACCTGGAAGATGGAGCAACATGCAAAGGCTTACATGAAGAATGCTGTGAGGTTACATGGAGTTCCAAAAGATATTGTGTCTGATAGAGATTCTAGGTTTCTTTCAAAGTTCTAGTAGAGTGTTCAGGAAAACTTTGGTACAACACTAAAGATGAGTACAACATTTCACCCTGTCACAGATGGACAAACTGAGAGAACTATTCAAACCTTAGAAGATATGTTGAGAGCTTATGTCATAGGCTTCCAAGGGGGATGGGAAGATAGCTTGGACTTAATGAATATTCTTATAATAATAGCTACCATGCGAGTATTGGTATGGCTCCATTTGAGGCATTATATGAAAGAAAGTGTCGTAGCTCGATATGTAGGAACGAAATAAGTGAAACAATGATCTTAGGACCTTAAATGATTGAAGATACATTTAAGCAGGTAAAAGGGATTCAAGCTAAGATTCAAGCATCAAAAGATCGTCACAAGAGTTACGCAGATCTAAAGCGTAGGGAAGAAGAATTTGAAGTTGGGACAAAGTGTTGTTGAAAGTATCACCAATGAAAGGTGCTATGAGATTTGGGAAGAAAGGAAAACTTAGCCCAAAGTATATTGGTCCATATGAGATATTGCAAAGGATAGGCAAAGTAGCAGGTTGGCCTTACCTATGGAGCTAAGTAAGGTGCATGATGTATTTCATGTATCTCAGTTGAGAAGGTATATACCTAATAAGTCACATGTGCTACAACTTGAAACAATTTGAGTTAGATCAAAGTTTAACTTACGAGGAAAGACCTGTCAAGATCCTTGACAATAAAGTGCGTAGTACGCGCAACAAAGAAGTTAAGATTGTTAAGGTGCTATGGTCTAATCAAGAATATGAGGAAGCAACTTGGGAAGCTGAGGATGAGATGAAAAAGAAATACGCTGAGTTGTTTGAGGTATGTTGAGTTACGGGGACGTAACTCGTTTTCTTTAAGGAGGGTAGCATGCGGTAGAATATTGCGTTTTTTCCTTCTATTTTCAGTTATTTTAGTGCTCTTTGCACATTTTTAACAGTTATTTCGAGTATTTTTTATTTTAAGGAGACATTAAAGGTAAAAGTATGTCAAAAGAGTACATCAATATTACACAAAGTGAGGAAAAATGTTGATTTTTCGTTCCTTTTTTAAGGGGGGGGGGGGGTTGATTGTAATACCCCGTATTTTTATACGTATATTAATTTAAAACATTATTTTATGAAGTATTTAAATAATTCGAAATGAATTATTTATGATATTTTAATAATTTAAAAAGGTCTGTTTTAATTAAAAGTCCATTTTTATTTATTTGATTGTTTTGGAAATATTTTATTTTATTATTTAGAAACTTTGGGGCATAATTAATTTATAAAAGGAAGTTTTAAAGTCAATGGAGTTTTAAAGAAAGTCAAATGTCTTTTGAAATAGGAGTAGGAATCATTAAGGGTAGGAAGAGAATTTAAAGTAGGAGGGTTGGAGAGAGGGTATAAATATCCATCATATGAGCAAATTGAACTATGCCCAAGGTGGAGAATACCCAAAGGTAAACTCTACAATGTTTTTCCATGGAATAGTGAATGATAGTCAAAAGTTGTCATGAAATTCAAGCTAAAGACAATATATAGTTTCTTGATAAAACAAAGAAAATGGGTGAGGGAGAGGGATCTCCAGCAAGGCTGTCGCGCCCTCTCTACTGTGGATACGTAGTGGGAAAACCCAGCTCGCCGCGCCCGTGGCCTTGACTACCGCGCCCGCGGCCACCTATACTGCGCCCGCGGCCTTTAGCTGCTGCGCCCGCGGCCACATGGGCTAAAGGTTGAAGAATAAAGGATAAAGGCGCAAGACCCAATACAGGATAAAGGTGCAAGACCCAATACAAGCCCCCAAGATATGCAATACAAAATAAAGGCGTAAGACCCTATACGGGGTTAAGCTAAAGGTTGAAGAATAAAGGATAAAGGCGCAAGACCCAATACAAGCCCCCAAGATATGCAACCTTGCATTTGAATCTTGGTATTTGTATGCTTGAGATTTCTCACTTTTGAACTTGCTTTTATTTGTTTTTGCATTTAAGATTTGTATTTGAATCTTCTTTGGATAAGTATGGGAAATCCCGATCATGCGGTCTATCACTCACTTGGCATTCATGTTTCTCAGTCACGCTGCTGAGCACTCGATAAGAGACGCAATCTGAGACGTGTTCATATCAAAGACATTGGAACACTTTCCCTTTTGCACACTTTTAATTGCTTTTTGAACTTTTGAAAAATCAATCAAGCTTTTGCACTTGGCTTTGAAAGTTGCATAAGTTGCACACCATCCCATCTCAAGGTTAGGGAGATGTGGTTGAAGAAAGAAAGGTCAATCGTTAGACGAAGCTCAAAATGGTTTATCAACAAAGGATGGTATATTCGAAAGGGGTAAAGGTTATGTGATGTGCCTACAAGGGGTGCCTCAAATCATTGGTAATACCTTGTATTTAGTTCGGCAAAGATATTTTTTTTTAATGAAATGCAATGCAATGATCATATGCAAGGGTATAAATGCTCATATTATTGAAAATGGAAAGGGTTAAAACAAAATCATGAAGTGAATCTAAGAAAAAATATAGAGGGTGCCTATGCTAGACTTATTAAGGGAAAGGGAAATCAAAAATAAGAAACGGCTATTTCACCAAATGCCACTGAATACTTACGAAATTCACCAAATGCCATCGCGTTTTTCAGAATTCACCAAATGCCACCGAGTTTTAAAAAATTCTTCGAGTGTCATTAATGACTGACAGCCGTTAGTTGACCCCACCACTTGCCACATGTCACCTTCTCATTGGTCCGTTTTAAAAAAAAATTACAAAAAAAAACAACAGAAAATCTTGAAACCACCCTAGTCACCACCCCTTCCACCACCCAATCCTTGCCGCCGAACCCCGAAACTGTGCCGCCGGCGACCTGCACCTTCACCGCCGGCGACCTGCACGTTCACCTTCACTAGCAACCCCTCCCACTCCCCTCCTCTTTCCCGTCGCGAAACCCCTCCCCTCCACTCACCACCAGCAATAAACTCCAGCTCGCATCACAACCACAACTCCCACTCATCTGCCAGCCCGCAATAATTGCACCTCCATTACAGCAGCCCATTGCTACCTCTCGCCACCAAATGCCACTACTCACCACCCGTACCACAACGCTCAACACCGAC